CCCCCAAAGGCTCAAGAATAAGTGCCCTTAAGGCTCAAGAATAAGTGCCCTTTTTAAATGACTGCCCCCGCAGCTTCATTTTGCTTCCGGCGCCCCTGCCATTCTGCCCATTTCCTCTGATCCTATAAACGAGGAACGTGGTATTATAGTCAGGCCTGTCAGGTAAGGTTATTCAGTTTAGGCCCTGGAATTCCTCAGGGGTGAACACATTTTAGTATGGAATTCTTCAGGGGTTGGCTATTTTAAAATTGGATTCCCTCAGGGCAGGATCGAGTCATATAGTTGTCAAATATAAATTTTTAATTAGGGGTAAATGTTGATTTCTTCGGGGGGGGGGTTGTGCTATTAATAGGACTTCTTCAGGGGATATAGATATATTTACTTCTTTCTTTTACAACAGGAATTCTTCAGGGATATTATTGTCCCTTACAAGGGTGTTATGTCTTTTAAATGGAATACTGCAGCCTAATGTACCAGTCAATTCCAACTGCGATCATCCCCTTCCCCCGGGCGAACCCCCGGGAATTTGACTTTTCGAAAAAAAATTTGGTCAAATTCTCCACTGTGCGGGCGAAAACCATCGTCAAATTCCACAGGGTGCGGGCAACCCTCCGTTCGGGCTGGCCAGATATCGATGATTGTTTATATTTAATGTACTGAAATTATATCATTAATCATCACAAATTAATTCTGTCATATTCTGTATAAAATTATACGGTCTTCATATTTTATTGATATTTTAACATAAATCTTTTCAGTATTGTAATACTCCTGCTTTATCATCCTTCTTTTGTAAATAGCATATATTCTAAAAATTACTAGTTTTATTATCTTTAACTGTAAATATATTAACCTCATTATGAACCACAACCAGTGCTGTAGAAGTGGGGGGGGGGGGGTTCGCTTGGGGGCGGAGCCCTCCTTCTTCAAACTCTGGGGGGGGGGGGGCTGAGCCCCCCTTCTACTTTAGAAAATCGAGAATTTATTATGTCAGAGGAGATTCAGTCATCTAGCGATACTAAATACCGAATGTTCTCGTGTCCAAGAACGACAAGAGAAAACGTAATTTTGGTTCATTTACGGAGCAGGATCTCTGTTACAATCTCAACAAAAATATTTAGTTTTGATTTAAAAAACTCCAGGAGAATTAGTCAGACTTTTGAATTATAATTAGTTTGGACTATCATAGACTTTTTAAAATACGTTAAGTTATTCCTTGCACATAATTATGTAGATTAGTTCAGTCTTCATTAGTACGCTGGACAGGTGTTTGTTTCCATTTATTATTTTCTTGTTATGTATTAGTGGGCTCGCACTTTCCAGAAGAAAAAAATTTCTAAGAAAGGTAAGGACGATAAGTATGGAAAATGCAATTTAAATTACGCTTAAATAAGGCATTAAATTTCGAAGAAAGAAACCTATTCAAGGAAAATGTACTAAGCGAATAAATTTTACCCTTATATAATGGCTTGCTTAAGAGTCGTTCAAGAAACTTTTTAAGAGAAACTAGCAGGTTTTATTGCATTTCCGTGGCTCTGAGAAGTCTCAGAATTCAAAATTCCCCGGACCTCCCAGTCCCAGAATGCTCACGCCTTCGGCGTTCCCTAGCCCCCCCCCCCAAAATCAAAAATGCCGCCGCGGTAAAGGCTATAGGTTTACCCCTGGTCATCGTATGGCTCACCCCTGGTCGTCATATGACGTCACATTATTTTTTACGATTTCACGGCTTCACGCTCCAAGAGAGCCCCCCCCCCCCCTCTGGTAAATTTAGTTCTACAGCACTGACCACAACTAGGGGCCTAAACCAATTTAACCAAAAAGCCTGTTCTGTAAAGGTTTTTAGTAAGTCCCTAGCCCAATATCATTAGAAGAAATTTGTTTGTAATCATTAAAATCTGTACATAGAGTAAAAAGAAAATAATAAAAAAAATCATTAATTCTATTTTTTAATAGGGGAACCATTAAATTTATGTCATATTGTTTTTTGTTGCTTTTTTCGCAGTCTTGTTTTTGTTTTTGAGACAAATTCAGTAAAACAGGAAGCAACAACAGCTTTTTTAACATCCCTGCTCTTGTTCCAGACTTTGAACAAAGGCATATTCAAATGATATTATATAAAACGTAAAATTTACATATACTTTTTCGGATGAATACTTATAAAGATGAGTAAAAGATGTGTAAAGATGCTCTAAATTTTATGAATTTTTTTGCGACCAATTTTGTGTGACCGCGGACCAAGTCAAATGCGGGGCGGGGCTCAGATTCGCGTCAAATTCCCGCCTGTGCGGGATTAATCTCTGGTCAAATCCTGGGGGTTCGCCCGGGCGAGGGGGGGGGATCGCAGTTGGAATTAACTGGTACATAAGTTATAGCTAATGTCGTTATTTTGTCAAATTGCTACAAAGTTGTCCTTAATTCATAACTTTGTAACAATTTGTTTCATTAAAGGACAATTAATGCCAAGCTTTTTTGTGTGTGTTGGTGTTATGTACTCAGGTTGAATATGATGTTTGTGATGTTACTCTGAGTGTGCATACACACCGACCAAAGGTCGCGGGTTCGATTCCCACCGTAGTCAGGCAAACTTTTCAGCTTGCTTGGTGTGGATGCACACTCAGAGTGACATCACAAACTAATGCCAAGCTGTTGAAACAACTTGTACCCACTTTGCAGGTCTGCCTACATGCCTGTAACAACTTGTCAACAATTTGGGAGCATGCAGGGGGCATGGGAAGCTTGATAAACTTAGGGGGGAGGGGGTAACAGTTTGATAAACTGAGGGGGGAGTCTCTAAATTGTCGAAAATCATTTTCAGTTTTCTCTACCTCTTCCGTTAGGCCCTTTCATTAATTCTTTCATTATGATTTCTCCATGTATACATGTACATGCTATCCGTGAATCAAGATGGATTATTCATTTTGAAATCTATTCCAGCTCCCCCCCCCCTTTATAAAATATTAGGGGCTGCAGCCCCACCCCCAGCCTCCCTGCATAATTACGCGGCTGAGAACATATATCAGCGCCAACACAACTTATTGTGGCAAGTCTGCTACAGGACTGCAGCAACTTGTACACTAAATTTAATGTGTGTATAGATTTATCACTCAATCATGAGGTTGGGTTGGATTAATTGAATTATACATACAGTACTGCCTAGACTGATAAGTTGACAAAAACCGCGCTTAAGCCTGGTTCACACTGGTCGTAATTCATCGGCGATCTATTGTATTCTTTTCCGACAGACAAAGCATTTTACACACCAATGACTACAGACAATAGAATTCCCCGATTCTTACGACCAGTGTGAACCAGGCATTAACCGTGGTTTAGCCGCGGGTCGTACGCAGGGGCGCACATTTAATACATTTTAAGGGGGGTTTGGACGAATCCGGGACCGACTTTTGATTCGAGAAAGATCCGGGACCGATCATAACGAAGAATGACACAGTGTACCTGGCTGGCTGGCTACAATGAAAAGACTTTTAAAATTGTTTATTGGGACTGATATTTAAAGCATTTGAAATGGCAATTGGACAGACAAAACAGACAATTTTGCGAGATATAACTTAGTTTATACGATTAACAATTAGGAAATCTTAGATCAAGCAGTTCCAAAGGCAATGTTCCATTTTAAGAGTTATTATAAATGCTGTTATTATTATTACCACATACTTATTACAGTAGTTACCTGGTCGGTGACTTTGAAGTTTGAAGATCTGTACTGGCAGAACAATGATAGCATATCGATTGTTCATGTAGTTCTACACTTATACACTAATAATACGCCGAGTCTTGGAGAGTTTTACCCAGCGATCAACTATTACGTTCAGGTCAATTGAATCAGTTAAAACTTTTTCTGACCCTAAAGTCATGAAATCCTTAAGCCTGTCCTGATTCATCACTGACACTGAACGCATAACTGTCTTGATCACTTTCAGCCTAGAGAACTGATTAAGCTTCGCTCACTCGACGCCGATGTAATAGGTGCAGTTAAAATCAGGCGATAGCATCTGTTTATTAAAGGAAATATGTTAACTTTTCAAATTTCATAGCTAGACGTGCTGCTTCTGCGATTGTTTCAGTGTCCAGCTTGTTCTCTCGAAAATGATTTCTAAACAACGTCAGTTCAACTTCAGCGTATAAAACGTCGTTGTCAGGTTGTAGTGAACGTGGAAGCATCTCTACGAGAGAGTCGATGTCTTCTTCTTTGGGATCATTGTCGAATGGAGAAAGAAGTTAAGAATCTAGGTTAATTGCCGGGGAGCAAGAATATCACATGTCTTCAACGTTGTCGGTAAGGGCTTGTGTTTGTACGTCGAGGACTTGGATGAATTCTTTTCTGTAGAAATCCTCGAGGGTACGATTTTTTTGCCATTTCTGATCTTTCGTCCACTCGCATCGACTCTATGACGTTCAGAAAATTTCACAGCAGCAGTAATCAGGTTGAGTTTACGTTTTGTTTATCATCACGTAAGTAGCGCAGAGTAGAAATGGTTGCTTTAGCAGATTCTAGAGTTTTTTAAGTTTTTTAAGTTTAGATATAGGTAATGCGAACCATATTGCCGGCGTTCTCTAGTAATAATTTTATGCCACAATAGTCCCTAAATGTTACTGAAATGGTGTAGTGTGAAATATGCATGATAATGTGATGGCCTCGTGTTGTTCACAATGTATGCCTGTGAAAATTATGTTGTACTTGATGGAACTGAGGAAAAATGATAAAAAAAGTCTTGTATTTGTATAAATGTGAACCTAAGAAATATACGTGTAGGTGTAGATTTGTGAAACATAAAATTGGAGATGCATGTGTGAAATTGTAACGGTAAAATATATTCTGTGGTGTAAGAAAATTTATCAGAACCAAACGGGTATGATCGCGCTGTACTAAAAAGCTTGTATGAAGCCTTTAAATATATCAAGGCAGAGAAGGAGATACTCATGTTTGTAAAATTCAGTTTCTTTTCAAAAATAGTAACGACAGGCACCAACCTGGTCTCCAGTCTCCGTATGAAGTTGCTACTTGCTATTGCGGAATAGTGCATTCTATGTAATTTAACGTGATACATAATCATAAACCACGGCGAAGTCATGCTTCATGACCTTCCGGCTTCAGCGGGACAAGCGCAATCAAGTGTTCAAATTGATAGCACAGAGCACATGGAAAACTTTAAAACTGAACAGGTGATAAACAGCGAGACTGCTCGCTCGTTGGCTGAATCCGTTGAGCGGCTTGCCTCAATAGTAGCTGAAATTCAAACAAATGTGAAATCTGAGGCGCAGGATCCATGTGGTAAGTGCAAAAATGATTTTTTGCATGGAAAACATGTCAGTATAAAGTACTCACAAACACATACTAGCTCTGATAATACCATTGTTTTAGAACAATCAGAGGAACTGAGTGATAACAAAAGTGAATATACAGGGTGTATAAAAAAAACGCAACCTCGGAATTTCCTAAGAAATCACTTTACAATTCTTAAGCTGCATAAAAGATTTTAGGCCCCTGGGAATTGAAATCGAATTGCTAATAGATCATATTACTGTTGTTGTGCATTAAATAAATGCATAAAGTTTGCTTTATGCACTCGCGTGTGCAGTAATTTTGACAGTTGTGCTATTTTAAATTCCGTAGGCGCCTAAAATCTTTTGTCTTTAAAACAATGTCGATTTCTTGGGAAATTCCGAGGTTGCGTTTTTTTATATACCCTGTATATCTAATTCAGATGCAAATGATTTAGAAATAAATAACGATAATAACAATAATGCCAAAATATATGAGTTAGTTAATGACATGCATAGAACAAAACCAACCTATGCAGCTCTTGTGAAATCGCAATTAGTTAAAAAGAGTTTGTCTAAATGTTTAAATCTGTATTAGGATCATCCTTAGAACCAACTCTAGAATCTTTACCATCTGTTAACAATAACAATAACAATAACAATAACAATAACAATAACAATAACAATAACAATAACAATAACAATAACAATAACAATAACAATAACAATAACAATAACAATAACAATAACAATAACAATAACAATAACAATAACAATAACAATAACAATGAAAACGGTCAACAATCGCCACAATTAGATACGATTAATGATGATGGTTTTATCGGTGTTGAGAGGAAACGGTTTTCTTATCCGGCATTGCTAATGGCGTAAAGGAGAACCATATATACACATACCTTACTAAAAGGAACATAGTTCCCAGCAGCATTTTAACCTTCCAAAGTAGAAGAAAAGGTACAATGTCTGCAAAAATATGTATCCCTTCAACATTTGCTAAATCCGTATTAGAAGATAATTTTTGGCCTAAATTTGTCCATTGTAAACTATGGCAGCAAAAAGAGCCTGTTCGAAAACCAGGCTCGCACACTAGAAATGAAAATGCTAAGACCCAAAGCTGTAAGGGACCCCATTCAACTCTTGTATAATGGCTAATCAAATACCAGTACGAATATCAGCTAGAAAATGTTTAGTAAAAAAATCTAAACCACGCCATGCCTGCAGAAACCTAATTAAAGTTAAAATTAACGGACGTAGTGAAACCAGCAAACCTAGACAAATTCCTAAATGTTTAGTGCTGAATGCTAGATCGCTAGTTAAGCCTGCACTATATGCTGAACTTAATAGCAACAACATTGATCTCTGTTTTATATCTGAAACGTGGCTTCATTCAGCTATACCAAGTTCACTGATTTGCCCTCCTGGTTACGGTATTGCCAGGAAAGATCGAGAAAATACACGTGGAGGTGGTGTAGCGATACTTTGTAGGAATGATTGGAGAATGGAAAACATACTAGAAGTAGAAAATATGTTCGAATGCATCTGGATGAAAATAATAACTAAAAACTCTGTGTTTAGTGTTGCAGCAATTTATCATCCCCCAGGCGATTATTGCTATGACGCCAAATAATTGATAGACTATTTGATTGATTCTTGTGAGCAAATTTTATTGCGTGATCCAAATATGAATATTATATTGCTGGAGATATAACTAAATATCCATGGTCTACTTATTCAGCAATCCCTTATTCAAATGGTCAAAACACCTACGAGATGCAACAATATTTTAGATGTTTTTATAACTAACGTTCCGCATTATTGGAAAAAAGTACAAGTAAGAAAAGGTCTATTAAGATCAGACCATAACATTATTATAACATCTCAGAAAGATACTATAAAAGCAGAAAGAACAAATTTATTCTTCAGAGACGTGCGAGACCATAGAAAACAAAGAATGTTTAATGATTTAGACTCTGTTGACTGGTCTAAAATAATAAACGATGAGCTTTCCTCTGATGAGATGGCTACTCAATTTTACGAAACTCTATGGCCTAAATTTGAAACTTGTTTTCCATTAATAAAAGTTCGATCATCATCGCGTGACCCACCGTTCATGTTTCCGCTTGTTAAGCACTTGTTAAAAAAGAGAAAGTAAGCAATGAAAACGAATGATGAAGAGACAATTACTCGTTTACAGAATCAAATTAATCGTCTTATCCACTCCAACCAGGTTAATGCTGTTAAAAATGAGAAAAATGGATCTAAGAATTGGTGAAGTAAAGTTAACAGCATGACTGGAAGAAAAGGAAACACTTTACCAGTTAGTTGTATAATAGAGCCAAGTGTAATAAACACTTACTTTCAAGGCATAAATACTGACCCTGAATACACTGCTCCCCAGTTGCTGTCGATCCCTAAGGACACCAGAATCCCCTCGCTCTCACTAGATATGGTGCACAATTTTTTGCGAAAATTGAAACGCACAACATCAGGTCCTGATGACATACCATACTGGTTTTGGAAGACATATGCAGAGATATTGACTCCTGTTATAACGAGAATATTTAATACTTCTCTGAAGAGTGGTAAGATTCCGAATGTTTGGAAACGAGCTGATGTGATACCCAGTCCAAAAGAAAACTCAATTAATTCATGTTCCCAACTTAGGCGTATCTCATTAACAGATATCATTATTCGCCTATTCGAGAAATGTGTGTATCAAAGTGAAGTCGCTGATACAGTGTATAATTATATTGAGGATGATCAATTTTGCATATAAAAAGGGACATAATTCTACCATGGCCCTAATAAAATATCAACATATGTGGTTAAAAAGCCTTGATGAAGGTGCTAAATCAGTTAGAGTAATCTCATTTGACTTTAGTAAAGCATTTGATAGTGTCCCACACGATATATTGTTTAATAAAATCAAGAAAATACCCATTAATCCATATATCATAAACTGGATGATCGACTTTTTGAACAACCGCAGACAGAGAGTGAAAGTTGATGATGTCACAACTGAATTTCTAGACATTAATCGTGGCGTACCCCAGGGTACTGTACTTGGGCCTATAATGTTTACTATAATGGTCAATGATATCAAGGCGGTGAGTCTCTCCAATGATTTATCCAAATTTGCTGATGATATTGCAATAATAGCACCAGTTTATGATTACGAAGATTCAGCTGGGGATGAAGTAGAAAACATGAAGCTATGGTCAAACGAGAATAGAATGTCTTTAAACATGGAGAAAACCTATGAAATGATAGTTCGCGGAAAAGTGTTTACTCCCCTTCCGGATCACATCCCATCCATAAAACGGAAAGAATGGCTCAAATTATTGGGTGTCACGATGGAAGACATACCTGGTAAATGGGATAAACATTTCGAAGAGATGATGAAAAAAGCTAGTAGAAGAATGTATATTCTAAGGGTTTGTAAACACTACGGGCTCTCTACACATCAATTGGATCTTCTCTTCAATAGTATTATAGTCTCTCTTTTCACCTTTGCAATCGAAGTTTGGGGTGGAGCATCGTACAACAAATACGTAAGTCAAATTGATATGTTTGTCAATCGTGCCTATAGAAATGGTTATACAAGCAACATATCAGATTTTAAAGCAACAATATCGAACAGAGACAAGAAATTATGGTCAAGAATTATAAATGATGATAAGAATGCCTTATGCAATCTTTTACCTAGTAAGTTAAATCGACCTTTACGACGGAGAGGTCATGACTTTGAACTACCAATTGTTAAAACTGAGAGGTTCAAAAACGCGTTTATAAATAGATGTCTTTTCAATTTTATATAAACTATATATCTATATTCTTATACCTTAGAATTTTAAAGTACTAAAAATTGATGTAAATAACAGTAAGAATCTAATTTTTTATTCTTAATATGCCGTTAAACTCAGACGTTTGATTTGAGTAGCGAAATAAAGACTTTTATTATTATTATTATTATTATTATTATTATTATTATTATTATTATTATTATTATTATTATTATTAGCTCTATAGCCAAAGTGACGTACTTTCGTGAAGCGTGTATTGAAAAAACACCGAATTTGGCTACTTTATAAAGAATTTAGACTGCATGATTTATGTAGTTGTTAGATAGCCTCAATCAGTCTAAACGGCCCAAAATGCATAAAATGGCGCTTTTGAGACACCAAAATAAATGAAATATATAGTCACGTTTCATAATTAGTCTCCTTCGCAGCCGCTATTTCCTACGGCCCGTTTTACCTTTGATGGATGGGTTTTTTCTCTCAATAAAGAGGAATACAGAGATTCATTGAGATACGAAAATATACCCCTGATCTACCAGGCATGTGTCCCTGTGGATTCCCCCTTTTACCCAAGTCATGCAATGGATTGTAAACATACATCATACATGCACTCATGATAATCTGCGAAACTTTGAAGCCGAATTGTTATCAGAAGTGTGTAAGGATTAGGATGTTGTGATCGAACCGATCCGTCTACCAATCACTGAGAACAATTCGACTTGAGATCTACTAACACTGAAGATGGAGCTCGACTAGATGTCAAGGCAAGGGAATACTACAGTACAGGCAATTAAGGGCAATATGCATTTTTTGATATTAGAGTGGTAAACTTAAATACCTCGTCAAATAGATCTCAACCTACTGAGAAGATCCTGCGTTGCGGTACAAAAATGAAAAAAGAGGGCTTACAACGCAAGAGTTATACAAGCGGTTGTTACACCATTGGTTTTTGGATCAAATGGTGCAATGGGCAAAGAATGCGCAACGTATCATAAAATGCTGGCATCGAAACTTGCTGCCAAATATAAATGAAATAAATAATATTCAACCATCATGTCGCACTTGAGAATGAAAATATCATCTGTTTCCTACGATCATCCCTGTTATATTTACGGGGCACAACAACACCCAGTTAAATAAAGTTAAAGATTCAATTAAAGTTACGGTTAAAGATTCAATTAAAGATACGTTCTAGATTTTAACTATAAATGCTTTTTAACTATTTCCACATAGGCGTACGGGAGCGGGGGCAGGGGGGCAGCTGCCCCCCAAAAAGATTACAAAGTCGAAAAGTCGGGCAAATGTTCAACAAAAAAAAGTCGGGCAAAAGTCGGGCAAACAGTAGTCAAAGCAATAAAATCTCTCTTAATAATAACCCCAGTTTGTTGGGCAAACAAAGCCAGTTGGGCAATATTCGCTTCACAGTCGGGCAATATTGGGTTATTATAAAAATAAATGGGACAAATTCTGTCAATTTGGGGGGAAATTATGTGAATTTTTTTATGTTTGGGAAAATTTGTTTGAATGTTCCGAAAAATTTTGGTATGTCCGAATAATTTTTGGACCCCTAAAATGGTACACTGACCGAAATTTTTTTGGCGAGGGGGGGGGGGAGGAAGGTCGCCAAAATAAATTGTTCCGGAAAAAAAAAATTTCGGCATTGGTCGGGCACAATCCGAAAAAGTCGGGCAAATTTCTTTCCGCCCCCCTAATTTTTTCCTTCCCGTACGCCTATATGTATTTCCATACTCGTGTATTTTCTTCAGTA